GCACGAACCTACACGGGGGTTTGCCCTGCTCTCTCTTGAATAATCTCACTCTCCACACTCTCTCCACACTCTCTGACACCTTTCTTCTTGCAATCTTTTTCAACTTTTCAACTACAGTCGCTCCCTTAATCCACTTTACCAACAATGCGTTTCGTATCAGCGCTTGCCGTCGCCGCGGCGACCGTCAGCGGCGCCCTTGCGCAAGACTTCGTCCTGGGCTTCAACTCGGGAGCCTCGGACGACACTGGCAAGGCCAAGACACAGGCGGATTTTGAGAAGGAGTTCACCACAGCGCAGAACCTCGAGGGCGCGCCGGGCGACTTCACCGCCATCCGCCTGTACTCCAACATCCAGTGGCAGACGACCGACACTCCCATCGCCGCCTTCCCTGCTGCCATCAAGACAAACTCCAAGCTCCTTCTCGGCATTTGGGCCTCGGGAACCGACGATATCGACAACGAGCTGAAGGCGTTGAACTCTGCCGTCGAAGAGTACGGCACCAAGCTGACGGATCTCGTAATTGGACTGTCGGTCGGTTCCGAGGATCTCTACCGCGTGTCTGAGCCCGGCATCCGGAACAAGGCCGGTGTCGGTAACAGCGCCGAGAAGATTGTCGAGTTCATCAAGGCCGCGCGCGAGCGTCTCGCCGACACTCCTCTCAAGGATGTCAAGATCACCCACGTCGACACCTGGACTGCTTGGGTCAACGAGTCCAACGCCGCTGTCATCGACGAGATCGACTTCTTGGCCGTCAACGCTTTCCCCTTCTACGAGTCCGAGCTGGACAACAAGATTGACAACGCTGGCAAGCTCTTGAGCAGCGCCATCAGCGCAACCGAGGGTGTTGCTGGAGGCAAGGACGTGTGGGTTACCGAGACCGGTTGGGCATACAGCGGTCCAGACTTTGGTGCTGCCAAGTCGACTGTGGACAACGCCGAGACATACTGGAAGGATGTCGGTTGCGCGCTCTTCGGCAAGAAGAACGTCTTCTGGTACACACTCCGCGACGCCAACCCCGCGAACAAGGTCAAGTTCGCCGTCTCTGACAACCTCTCCACCACCCCGCGCTTCGACATCAGCTGCCCTAAGGAGCAGAAGGAGTTGCCATCGGCGGAGCCCGTTAACAACGGTACTTCATCTGGTGGCTCTTCAAGCGGCAACACCACCACTGGCGGTAACAACAACGACGGCGGTAACAACAGCGACAACGGTAACAATGGCGGAAGTGACGGTGGAAGCGAGAGTGCTCAGCAATCTGGCACCGCCGCCCCTAGCGGTACTGGAGCTGGAGCTGCTACTTCCGTCTCGGTTGTGAACTCGATGGCCATGGGCTTGTCGGTCGTCTTCGCTATTGCTGCCTGGGCCTTGTAAGCGTAGATCAAGCTTCTACACCTAGCTCCCATGCTATATTTCTTTGCGTCAGTGTAAGATAGATGAATGCGTTCACATGGAGTGTCGAGTGGATCACACTCGTACCTAGTTCGAGCGACCGGTTTCGCAACACTAAGGTCTTGTAATATGCCTAGAGAATGAGATGGCTTTGTGTTAGTATTTCGAGTGCCATCTAGGCGAATCATGAAGGTGAAGTGTACATTGATCGAGGAGAGAAAAGAAAGGTGCCACCCACGCACTAGCTCATCGAGACGCGTCATGCCCCACACTCAGCCGTAGCATCGCTCCTGACTCCGCATCCTCCACCAGCTTCTTATTTTGTTGAAATTCACAAACTAATACCAATCAATGATTGTTCAAACAGCCAAGAGGAGCATGTCACCAAGATGGCTCGCAATCTAATCAACCCCAGCAATGATTCATCCCCTCATACCCTGCGTCCGATCCAACGTCTTCGCACTATTCTTCAGAGAACGCTGGCCAAAAGCATTCGACCTACTGCACCCATCAGACTCATCGGAATAGAAAAGCTGAGGGCTGCGGGTCTCGTACTGTTGCATTGAGCCCGCGGTTGGGGCCATGTAGTGGGGAAGACTCGGCCGCGATTGAGCGGGTGGTGGAGTTGTGGGTGGTGTCGTCACGACATGTATCTCGCCTTGTCCTTGAGAAACAAAAGCTGTAGAGACGGGTGTTTTGGGAGCCACAGAAGCCGGTGTCGAGATGGTGGATTGGGCGATTGGACTGGAGTTGTGTTTAGGTGCCGTCTCGGGTGTGGCTGGCGTAGGGCTCTGTGCCTGCATCGCCATGCTAGAGTGTCGAGACTGTGACTTTGGCTCTTTAGATTTCCGGAAGGGACTCATGGAAGAGAACAATGATGCTGCCCGATGTCTAGGAGTGGACGTGGGTGTCTTTGCTGTCGCCTTGGCTGCTCCAAATAACCCTTGAGACTTCGGAGCCAGAGGCTTTCTAGTAGGCGTTGTCGGCGTGAGCTTACGCTTTGTTCGCGACTTTGCGAATCGTTCCTCGTTATTGTCTTTGAGGGAATATGCGGCGTATGCTAATGGTTCAATCCCAGGCTTCTCCTTCGTGTCCATCAACGACCGTTTTTTCTCTTTCGACCTGGTCGTTTTGGCTAATGCCGAGGCATTCTTCGCTCTCTCTTTTTGTTCCCTCTCATCGGTCTCACGGAGCTCCTGGAAATGAATCGCCTGCAGGATCAACATACGAGCCTCAGCGTTAATGCCGTGTTCGAAGACCTCATATACGTACGGCACAAAATCTCCCCACGTCTGTATCTGTCCTGGTAACGGGAAGATCATATTGGCCGTCTGATAGACTCTTCGAAGGTCTCTTGGTATCTGTTTTGCGCCCATGATGGTGGGCAACACACGCAAATGCTTTGCAATCAGCTCTTTGGCTTCGTAGATGAGCTTGCGCATACTGCCATGCAAGGATGCATGGGCACGATTGCTGAGGTTCAGATCGAGAACGCAACTCTCAGGCACTTCGAGCAAGTATCGATCGATGTCAGCATATCGAATCGGAGTTGGGCTCTGCTCAGGCGGCCTGGAGCTGCCAAAAGCTGCTCTAAACAGCGCCTTCGACGGGCTTGCAGCGTGCTTTTCCAAACAAGGCTCATTAGGAACCGATGGTGTGTCGAAGAGTGCCAGATCCATCTTGTATTCCTGATGGTAGGAATAGTCAAGAATACACACATATTCGTGCCCAGGTTCCAAGCAGCCGAACAACCACTCCCACGGCCCAGACACCTGCTGGTTCATGCTGTGTATGATTCTCTTCATCGCTTCTTCAGATGTAGCGTGATCTACAAAGAACCCTGTATTCGCGATCAACTTCCCCCGTGATAGTTTGGCATTGCGGATATAGCTGATTGGTGCAGCGCCAACTATAGGCTCACATGCGGAACTGAGCAGAGGCGTGTGGCGAATGCGACATTTCTCCCAATTCGGCTTCGACGGCAGTACTTCGATACCGCGACCAAAAACGCGAAGCATAGCGCAAAGACTATACGGGTTCACGGTTGCTATTCCGACAAGATCCCTTTGTGTAGATCTGCCGATATCGTAGTGCATGGCCAGGGCTTGCAGCATCTACTACATGTTAGTTGCAAATCCTTAATCAGGATACGTGATAGACGCTCACTCGTGTAGCTCGTCTCTGGTTGCGATAGCGTTTCACCACGAGCAGTTGCGTTATCCACCACACTCGATCGTCGCCATGCATCCACTGGCTCACGAAGCAGTGCCCAACGTGCCGATCGTCTTTAGTAACAACCGTTACTAGCATATTGTTCGCGTCCTCGGGTAAACATTGAGCTCTTAGTCTCACGCGACTCATATGTATTGGTTTGCCTATACCAGAGTCAGCGATACGTCCTTGGTTGCCGACCTACACGCTCCAATAATACCGGAGGACTTACCATACTCGGCCATCATCCCCATTTCAAGATGCGCTCTCCAACTCCACACGCCGTAATCAGAAGAGAAGTTGCCAGCGCATATGTCCAGTTCCTCGTCCGTCACTGCATCTCCGGGGATAATGCGATACACGATGTCTTCGTCGACATCTGGTTCTTCATAGAGGTGGTTAGACTCGCCACGTATACAATAGTCGACGATATCAGTGCTCGCAGGGTCGCGGAGCGCCATCTTCCAGGTGAGCGGTCTCTTCGCGCGGTTGGTGGTAGCTGATCGTGCTTCGCAGCGGTAGTCACGCTATGCCGTCCTTGGAAATTGTTTCGGTTCTGATTTAATGTCCTGGCAAAAGAAGTTGTTCTGGAACGTTGAAATAAGCTCAAAATCTATCGTAGACGACTTTTCGACTGTCAGGTTCGTTCAAGCGAGGGATGCAAACCATGGTAGAGACCGGACTGCGCCCTATCATGCAAAAGGCCGCGCCTACCGCTTCCTCTGAACCCCTTCCGAGTCCAACGCCAAAGTGAACGATCAGTACCGAAAGAGCTGTAGATGGAAGGAGCGTCCTCGCCTAGACCTCTGGCCTGTTGAGCGGGTTGCCAGGTTTGCGATAAAATTTGGATCTCAAGGCGCGCGATAACGTCACGAACTGTATCCAGACAAAGTAGGAGTTGCGCAATCGGTAGTAACCAATGACTTCATTCGACACATCACTGCTAACATTGTACAAGTCTAGTTAAGGTGGACGAGATGTGCAGTACTCAGAACAAGCGGATCAGACACCCTTGCCACGGTCTTCTCATCACGATCGTGTCTTCGTCTTGGGAAACCAATATTCCAGCGCACGCCCGGTTACTCAAGTCTTAACGCTCACGCCATCTCACATCTTCTTAACGGCGTTCATCCTACTCAAGTCAGTGGGTGCACAAATCCCATGCGAACGCAAAACTCTTACCTCGTAGTACTGCCTGTCATCCGCGAAAGATACCCGACGTCTCCTTCTCGTATCCACTGGCTGCTGCCTTTCGTCATACGGGAGGTATTCGTCGCCACGCCACACTCCAGTATTATGTAGTCGATATCTGTCGTCGCGGTCCGGCTGCCTGACCTCTTGCAGTGGTCGCCTTGTATCGTGAGGCAAAGACTGTGGCTCGAATCGGGATGGCCTCCGATCTAGCAACTCCTCTCTTTCTTCAGATCGCGACTGCCTGTGATCTCGTAACTCCTCTCTTTCCTCATAGCGCGGCCGCTGCCTGTGGGACTCATCGAGATCTGCGATCTTCCTTCGGTCAGCCAGTTCGACCATTCTCTCTGCCTCACGCGCTGGTATCGGGAGAATAGATCCCCACTCGCCCGCTGCGTCGCAGAAGTTGATGATCTCCAGTCTCTCCGCTGGGTTATGTTAGCCAGCATGTTTGTTACACGTACCGACCTACTCACCATCGGTCATGTCCCTCGGTCGCTCCATCTCGCTTCCTCGCCTTGTTGGCTGCGCCGATTGGTCCGGATTCATCTGCATGAACCGCACAGGATATTTTGGCTGCTTCTTCATCCGTGAGACAATGCTCTGATATGTCGCGAGGTAGTCATCTCTCCGAGCACCTGAGATCTTGGCTAGTTCGTATTCGTTGTGGAAGGGCGAGAGGAAGTTAACGAGCCAGATGATGTCGGCATCTCGACCGGGATAGTACTCGAGGCTTTCAATCAACCGCTTGGTGAGTCGCAGGGCGAACAAGCCGATGACGAGGAAGTCTGGAGCAGGCGGTGGTGGAGAAGGGCGAGGTGGTAGTCGCGGCGGTGCGGATGGGCCGCGCACTATATCGGGAAGGGGCGAGAGGGCGGATCTGTGTTGCTGCATGTTGATGGTGTGTCGATGGAGGACGATAGTCTGGCAGTGAAGGTAGCAGTCTAGACTCAGCACATTTGGTCGCGTGCTTGGCGGTAAACGGAAGTCGCGATTCGATGGCGCGGTGACGAGTGTGAAAACAAGCGAGTCCAATTTCTCCCCAAAATGACCAAGTTACCGTACCTGCACCTGCAGTGCGTTCTCTGGAGTCTTGAGTGTTATTCGTTGCTTTAATGAGCTTACCCAACGCATGTGATCAATCCCCCTACAAACTGGCGTAGACAAGACAGCGACCGAAGATTTGAGACTCAAGCCTGGCCCCAGCCAGTTTATTGATAGTCAGCGCATGATATCCGATCATCTTACACGACACACGAGTTGGCTCTTGGGCTCGATCGTCGATTCTGTACACATTGTCGTGTGCTGGTGGCAGTCATGTTCCTGGGCAGACCATAGTGCAGAGAATGACCAATCTTACTCAGACGTGTCTGCCCAAGCGAATATCATGTGATAATGTCGCGACACCACGTTTTGATGCTTCGCAACACGCTGGTGAAGATTATATGCACGATGACGTCACGCGTGGGTTAGCGTGTATGAGTCGAAATGACCATTGGACGGCGAACGGTGACACCTGCGTACCTTTCCCGATAAATATCACTAAAGTTGTACTGGCATTCACGATGCAGTTACCTATCAACAAAGAGAATAATTCAAAGATAAAGATCGACCGTCTACGATTAAGCCGAATCATGGATTACCCGTTTATTCCAGGAACTTCAGCAATTCCGTCCAAGGTTCTGGAGCCTATTTCAACTGCAGGGCCTCTACCCGAAGAGCTCTTGTCGCCGAAGCCACCTCTTGTAGACTCAAAGTCCATATTCGCGTTCTGGCATTCTGGCATCCGAACGATCCCACCTGTCCTACTACGCAACGTCCTTGCTTGGTACCGCCGCTTCTCACCACTAGGCTGGACTATCTATGTCCTTGACAACGTGCCAAATTCTGCACTGAATGTAGGCAACTACATCGACACCAAGTCCTCCTCGATTGTACCGGCGGCATTCACAAACGGTACCCTGGACGGACAGTATGCCGCACAACACACCTCAGATCTCATCCGCTATCCGCTTCTGTTGGAGTACGGTGGTGTGTATCTCGACGTTGGCATCCTTCAATTCGGCGACCTTAATCGCCTCTGGGCCGAACACATCACCAACCCAGATTCGCCTTACGACTTCGCCGGCTTCACACTGGGAGCAGATGAGCCGCAGATTGTAAATTTCTCGCTCATGTGTCGAGCGAACAACCCGCTTGTGCGACGCGCACATTATATCTTGCTCCAGGTCTGGGAAGGCAAGACCAACACAATTGGCACGCATGCGCATCCACTGGTGTCCCACGTCCCTCTTATGCGTGTGCCACAAGAGGTTGTTGTAGAAGAAGAAGGACAGGAGAAGATGGTGATCAACGACGAAGCCATGACCGACTACGCGATTCAGATCCAATGCATGGGATCGGCGCAAGGCTGGGTGGATGAAGAAGATGGATGGGACGGGCCAAAGTATGTCAGAGAGAAGTGCTGGCTGCTCAGCATGATGGACGGGGCATTCGCACACGAGCAGATGACTGGATGGAGTGGTCAGAGGCAATTTGATCTTCTGAGCCTTCGATTACCCAAGGACAGTGAGATTGAGACAGACGATCAAGCACTTGCGAGGCGTATTGTAGAGAAAGTAGTGGCGGATAGCTGGTGTTTGAAGCTTGGGCACGGATTCTCGGCGAAGCTGTTCGGAGGCGACACTCTCGGTATGCTGTGGAGAAAACATCGTGGCAGCGACTGTGCCAATAGGACGTATGCGGGCTGGCTGAGGTGGGCAGAAGTGGGCTATTGTCGCGACAGCGATGTGGTACCTATGAAGGTTCCCGTGTATGAGCCGACTAGGAAAGCGAAACTTTTGCCATGAAAGGACGAAAGGCATGGAAAGAAAAGGGCGACTTGGGCGAACAATGGACTGCTCGAGATAGCGCCCAGAAATTTAGTGTAGAACTATGTCATTACACGACCGAAGCGGATCTGCCCGCCTCCCCTTTTCTCACGCCGACGGCCACGCCCACGCTCAATGCCATCCCCTCCCTTCAGGCTTTCGGAAACTTGCGTATCGACTCGCAGACATCTCATGCACAGGTGTAACTTCATGCGCCATCATCTCTGACGGCTGCCGCGATACTGGTTCAATTGTTTGCCCATCGATCTCGCTGACAGCAGGGTTCTTGGCTCGGCGGTTCCGCCTGAACAGTAGGAAGCCCATGGCTCCAAGCAGGGCCAGCCCAGCAACACCTCCCACAACACCACCTGCGATCGCACCTTTATTGGTCGATTTATTTTTTGCTATCGGAGTCGGGCTCACGGGCGTGATGTTGGTAGGTGTGCAGATTGTGGTAGGGTTTGGCGACACGTTTTCCGCATTGGCTGCGACAGCTGGCGCAAGTTGGAACTCGCTTTTCGCGTAATCTACTAAAAGATAGTTGAAGGTCAAGAAGAGCCCTCCCAGGATACTGTCAACATCGCCTGGATCATCTTGTCGCGTATCCGACACGAAGGCTTCGAGTGTGCTGTCGTTGGTGATGGCATACCGGCCGTACTCGTCAGATCCGCGTAGTGGCGCGAACAATTCCTTGTTAGGTATCCTGGACTGATAGCCGCCTGCCAATGTTACAATGAGATCGCCGCCGGGACGATTCGAGACGTTGTAATGCATCTTTCCCGGATATACGGTCTCATTCTGGTGCGTGGAGTTTCCAAAGGCCTGCGCAATTGCTGGAGGAAAGACGAAGCGCTGCGTCGATGGCTCAATGCAAGCAATCAGTCCATCGCTTCCGTCTGGTATGAGCGGTATATCCTGATACGTTAGGTTTGTGACCGTTACCTGTAGAGGGCAGGCCCGCTCGAGGTTCCATTCGCCGATCGGGAAAGTGGTAAAGTTGGATGCAGGGTCAACCCGCGCGCGATCATATCCTCCCACAACGAGCAGACCGTCATGTGGATCGATACCCCTGCTACCACTCCAAAGACCGAATACCTGAGATGGCGCGACACCACCAGCGACTGCAGCGCGGAGGAAGGAGGAGTTGGTTCCGAGAGGTAGACCAGATTGCACACCTGCTATCAGTCAGCTTCTTTCATAGCTCGACAGCCCGCATTGAACGAGACGTATTGTGGGATTCTCACCTCCCCAGACTTCACTATCCATGACCAATGGAAAGCCGTCGACATCGCCATTCTCCTGAAACGCGACATCATCGTTGAAGTAGACGTATGCACCGGTACTGTCTTCAGCGTCGACTTGGCTGCCATTCCATTGGCTCTTAATCGAAACCGCATACGATGTCGACTTTGGCGCATCGAAAGCACCACCTAGACCACCAATGCAGCTGTCGTTGGTCGCAGATCCACAGTTGATCACATTGTTGATCCGCGTGTTGTTGAGCGTAGTCGACGGTCGGAAAGCAAAGATCTGGTGCGGAGTCCCAATACCAAGTTCAATTCCACGCGCGACGCCGAGGCCGTCCTGTGTGACGGTGATGTTGGACCAGGTGAGTGTCAGAGGCGGGATGTCGCATTGCGCTGCTATCAGGCGAGGCTGGGTGAAGATGAGGGCAGCAAGGCTGAGAGTGAAGCTATATTCTATGCGCCATGATGGAGCCATGGCATTGAAGCGGGCTGAAGCATGTGCAGGAGAATTGGCTCGTCCCACAGGAGCATCAAGGTCAAGTCGGTGAGCAGAGAAGAGGAGGTAAGCAGACAAAGGAACCAGCGTGCGCAACGTAAGCCGGGCGCAGGTTGTACTCCTCGAAACCAGCGCCCAAAGAGATTTCTCGTACTATCATGCATCGTGATAGCAGCAGTTTTTCTGATTGGAGTTACATTCTAGTGGCGCAACCTATTGGGCGTGGGTAGCTGCATTGTCAGCTTGAAACGTCGGTCAATGTGCCTGCTTGCATGCCGATCACATCTATCATACCTGGGATCTCGAGTGCTAGTCGATATGCGTCGAAACCTGGATTTTCTGTTGTTGGGTGTGTGCACCGCTTTTGGACGAGGCGGAGGGTGCATGAAACCACCCCGCTTTGTGCTTCTACATCATACATAACGATCACTGGTCTACTACAAATGGGCCACCCGAATGAATATTGAGATCCCTAGGTGCGTTAAACCGGTAGGCGGTGCCTACTGCGTTCAGCATATCCTTCGAGCATCGAACACACAAGGCTGTATCTGTCAAGCAATATTATCGTGCAGCGGCATATTTCTGATCATATGTACCAGCCGCGTTATTACAAAATAGACGTAACTTGAGTTGATGGACTGGCAATGACCAAAAGGCTGACAATATTCGTTTGACAGCTTTGTTTGTTCCAGTTGATACACCAGAACCCTATAGAGCCTGCATGGGCTGCTTCTATAGTCTGCTCGATCGTCCTCGGAGGGACCGATGAGCGTCAGTGGGTGGCTCCATACCCGAAAGATACTGGTGATGCGGAGGTGGAGGAGGAGGTGGTGGTGGTGGCGGTGGAGGTAGCGGAAGCAGTTGCGCATAGGGAAGCTGCGGAGGAGGAGGTGGTGGCGGCGGTGGGTAACTGGATATCTCGTGGATAGCCTTCTGCAACCTTACAAGAGCCTTCTTCTCCCCTTCTCCATACATGACAGGTAACTGGACGTCGAACATTCCAAACAGACAATAAGCTGCGTCTTCTTCGCGTTTGGTTTGACGGCCTTTTGTCCAGGACATTCGCTCGCTAACGCTGTATGAGAGGAAAGACCTTTTCTTCCAAAAGATCTCGATGGGTATACCGGTAGCAAGATTGATCTGATGTGAAAGAGATCCTTTGTTACCGAGCACGTTCCCATCAGCAGAAAAGAAGTCGACAGATATGGGGGCGAGCAACTCCTGCAAAGTCCAGCCGCGAGTGAACCATCTACTCTTATGGAAATCAGACTTCCAGTGTTGGTTGGCTAGTCCGTTTCGTGTTGACCATACATCAGCCAAATATGCGTAACAAATACTAAACGACACAATGCTCATTAGTCTCGTGCTGGGACGATACATAGTTGGGGAAAATGGCAGCTTGGTACTTACTGTGCACCTCGATACCATCGAAACATTGAGGTTATAGCCTCTGACAGCTCTGCGCTGCTCGCCTTGTCGATGCAGCAAGAATCCACCCAGAAGTGATCCAGACCATCAAGCGACGCCTGCTTGCCGCAAAAATGCAGCTTCTTATACCCAATTTTCAACGTCGCTTTGCCTTCAACCAGGTCCTTGTACGTGACTTCCTCGCTGTCAGCGCCCCAGGTGTGCGAGAGGATCGCGTATGGGGGTATATCTTTCTTAAAGTATTCGACAAGGCTGAATGTGTCATCAGGCTCTATGCGCAAGAGCCGCATGGTTGGCTTGAGTGGGAAGGTTGGAGAATTGACACTTCGTAAATATGAGAGTACCTACCTGGGTAGATATCTTCAAGTTCAGTTTTCAGTGCGCGACAGAGTTCCGAAGGCTACAGGCTGTACACACGGCGCGGCTGTGTTCAAGATCGCGCATATGCATGATTGCGCCACCACAAACAGACGGAAGCAGGTTGCCTTCCATCATTGCTCCGCCGGCGATGCATCAACGAGATAGTAGCTGGTGCTGAATTTCGATCGAGAGATTAACATTGGCTTCTTGTTTGTATGTGAATGAAACTACCGATGGATCGTTTTGTATGATCGGGATGCTGAATTCCAGATAACCTGGGGGGCGTTTCTGGGTGATACTGGTGCAGGTGGTGATGAGATGAGCCCGTGCCACCGCGGAGAATCCTTGCCCGATCCACGTCAACACCAAACCTCGATCTACCTACATAGGTATCGGCAGGCACAATAAGAATCCCGCCTATGTGCAACACTGAGTTGCTACTCAATCACCTACCAATCCCGCCCGCTGAACAGGCTCATGATCTTGGCATTCTGGAAAGTAAGATGCAACCAAGTTGAAGAGATCAGATGACGTCATCGTAGGTGCTTCGCCAATTCACAACGCATCCATGGATGGATTTCGTTCATCTTCATTGCATCCAAGCAAGCGATGACTATTAACAGCGCTCAAAGCTCGATCGAATCTGGACTCCGAGACCCGCTTCCCCATCTATACTCGTGCTGAAGCTCAGAAGGCGAAACGTTACAAGTCATTTGCGCAGGTCTGCGTCCTGACAAGGCCCGATCGGGCTTGAAACCATCATCCCAATGGCATCGCGAAGTCAAAACTTCAAACTCGTATGCGATGGACATAAGTGCGAAGTATGCGACAAGCTTTCTGAAACTCTTGACCAGCTGCGAGCAGGTGCTGGGAGTCAATGTCCTTTATCTCTTGTGCGACTGGCTTGTGTAGAGTGGGCTCTAGCACGATTAGGTCGAGATGTCCCCGGGTGCAATATTCGATACAGCGGGCTATTTCAATTGATGGTTTTTGGAGACTCGGTGGCGCTCTACGTGGAACTTTTCGATCTCCGCGGTACGTGAATTGACAGCTGTTAGAGGGTCTCACTAACTTCCCCAGCGACCTCCCCGGCATCGGGAAGATTGATGCCAAGCTCGACTGGTCCAGACAGCACATTCTCAGCTATTAGAAGTTGGCTGGATGACTGCTTAAAGAGCCACGGTGGTTGCGCTAAACCAATTTCTAGCGCCCACCTCAGCGGTCAGACAGGCGCAAGATTCCTAAAGATTGAGGACTATCGGCTGCTCCTTGTACAAGATACAAGCCCCGCGCAATATATTTGTCTGAGCCACTGCTGGGGAGGGGGCGAGGGTATACTCCGGACAACAGTCTCTAGCTTCATGGATCACTCGAATGGAGGCATTCCCATGGGTAGCCTACCGGCAACCTTCCGAGACGCCGTTACTATCTGCCGACTCCTCAAGGTTTCTTACTTATGGATCGACAGCCTGTGTATTGTTCAAGATAGCGACGAAGACTGGCGTAGTCAGTCTGCGACTATGGCCGACATTTATGCGAACGCGTTCCTCACGGTTGCCGCATCAGATTCCGAGAACGCTACAAAGGGTTTCTTTCGCACTGCTGATCCCGACTTCCTGGGTGAGCCACTTCCAGGCCACTCAGGAGTGTACGTACGGATGTTGAACGAATTGAACATTACGTGGCCGCTTTTAAAACGAGCATGGGTGTTCCAAGAGCTTGTCTTGTCTCCTCGCGTCGTACATTTTGGTCCCAACGAGGTTATATGGCAATGTCGACATGCAGTCAAGTCCCAAGGTCGTAAGCTAGAGCAGGTTCTATCACCATCGATCAGCGATCTGATTATGATAAGTTGCACGACAGAGGACCTTCAATCTAAAGATCCGAATCTTACAGCGGTATGGTATGAGATGGTAAGGTTGTATAGTCAACGGAGACTTACCTATAGTAAAGATCGTTTGCCAGCAATCGCCGCAATTGCCAGAACAATGCAGTCACTACGACCAGGCGATGAGTACATTGCTGGGATCTGGCGATCGACTCTTTGTTTTGACATGCTATGGCGCACTCGTTTGTTGCCAGCTGAATGGAAATGGACCGAGGATCTGCTGGCGGCAGTCAAAAGGCGTATGGCTGGAGGCATACCTACTTGGTCTTGGGCATCCACAAGTGCAGGGGTAGAATGGTTGGCAGCGGACACGGTTCTTTCCAATGTTGAGATCCTCCAGGTCGACTACAGAGTGCATGGGCCGACCGTCTCTGGTGAAATTACTGAAGCTGCGATCACTATACGCTGCCCTTTGATCAATCTTTGGGACATCAGATACCACTGGGATGTGCCAATCTCGCTCGAGGAGGCGACTCATGAAGGCCTTTCGGCGGGATCAAGTGAATTGACACATGGCGACCCCCAGTGGGACGACGTGGAGCTGATTCACTATCATGACATCCAAGCTCGGTTGTGTTTGCTTTTTCTCGCTCTGAAACAAGGACCATCTATATTCCGCGGTCAGTCATGCGCGCTGATCGTGATGGAAACAAATCATCCAGGTCATTTCGTTCGCCTAGGTATCGTCAATGTACATTTCGCGGGGTGGTGGGCCATCTTTATGCGATCAGGAGATACCGAGTATGTGGAAGGCTACCATGTCGACGGGCTGACGGAAGAGTATAACAATCGTCTCAAGGAGATGCTTGAAAAGACGGACACACGAATTGTAACACTACTCTGATCTTAAGAAGTGTACCAGGGATGAGGCAACATGCAAGGCGACGTTGCTTGGGAAAACGGGTCGTAGTGTGCATGCCGAATGTGGTCCGAGTCTGAATCACGTTCTTAAGGTGTATGTCTCTTATAAGAAGCCGTTCTCGATTGGATTCCGATTGAGCGAACAACCGATGGGGGTGTGTGTATAGTCTCTTTTCGAGCGCGATGTCATTGCCAACTCGGTGCACCGCCACAATCCAAGCCGCTGGACCCCACCAAGACATGCCTACGCGTGTCCCGCCTCCAGGTCCCAGCCCAACCACTAGCCCCAGCCAACACCAGAGGTCGACACGACATCCAACAACACTATTCACACAAGTCCACGTACTCAGATACTATCGCCGACCATACAAGATGGCGCCTTCAGTCTCGTTAGTCGTACGTTCCATGGCGACACCAGATACTGCCATCGCGACTGCCAGCTAATGCGGGGCAGAACAAGCTCAAGGTACAGCTCAAGCTGTCCATATCGCGACTACGCATGGTCCAGCAGAAAGACAGCGCCAAAGTAAAGCAACAAAGGAGAGAAATGGCGCAACTGATCGAGGTACGTCGGTAGCTCCTTATAAGCAATTGTCGCATCGCCTCGCCCAGGCGCAAGGCAACTGCGCGTATCCAATACCACCACACTCTCCTCTAGGTCCCAGAACTGACGTCTATGTAGGTCGGAAAAGTCCAATCAGCGCGCATACGCGTCGAAAACATAATCCGCACCGACATCACGACCGAACTGCACGAGATCCTCGAACTCTACTGCGAACTCCTCCTCGCGCGCTCCCAACTCCTCGAATCGCAAGTATCCTCTTCAAACACCACCTCCGCATCTACCTCGACCCTCCTCGACCCCGCGCTAGAAGAAGCCGTCCGCAGCATAATATACGCCGCGCCGCGAACCGAGATCAAGGAACTGCATACCGTGAGGGCGCTGTTGGTGGACAAGTTCGGGAAGGATGTCGCAGTCGCTAGTATGGAAGGCGAGGGTGTTGCGGAACGGGTGATGAAGAAGCTGAAGGTTGAGACACCGAAGGAGGAGCTGGTTGAGGCATACATGACGGAGATTGCGAGGTTCTACGGCGTACCATACGGCACAGCCAAGAGCGAAGACGAAGAGGACGACGATGACGACGAGCCATCGGGTGGCGTAGCAGAGAAAGCAGACGCCGATCTCGAAGACCCCATATCCACCGACGACAGCACGAGCAAAAAGGCAGAAGAGAGGGAAGCGTTGGCGAAAGCCTCGACACCCAAGAAGCTGGGCCCGCAAAGTCCGCTGCGAGTCGTTCCGCCCAGCCCCAGTACAGATAATGTAGCGCCGAGGTTGAAGTTACCGGGCAGTGCGGCGGCGAAAGTAGCGAAGAGCGAGGCAAATACGAAGAAACCGGCGAAGAAAGAGGATGGGCTGGGGAAGATTCCGGATGTGGATGAGCTTTCGAGAAGGTTTGCGGAGTTGAAGAGGTGATGTGGGTGAGAGTGACGGTCTGGTTGTTTGGCATGGAACTCAGAAGACTTGTCATCAAGCCTTCCCCTGCAAGTACCAGTCTGGTAAGAGTACCCAGACTGCGCACCAATCATGTTAGGAGTCAGACTTTTGGCACAGTACTAAGGGATGAGCCCAAACGTAAGGGACGGCGTACGATAGTAATGGCCGTGATTTAGGTCTCCTACTCTCCAAGATAGCAGCTGCTAAGCTGCAAGCAATGCTATCGATGCAAACTGCTCCTATTCTCCACAAACCTCATGTACAACATCATATTGTACGGCTTCCCATGTTAAACTTTCAGATATCTTCAATCGCTACACTAAGAACCAGGGAATGTGTCGTATATGTAAATTACTGGTATCATGCTAATACGCTCACGAATCTGACGGATCTCTTGCCCGAGTACAGAGTTTTGCTATATTCCGAAACGCCATTGCCTTGCATACTCAGGACTTGATCACAAAGCCTGAATGCCCTTGAAGAACCCATTAGCCATAAGTTCCGGGTTCCCCTTGACCAGCTCCCTCATCCTCTCCACTTGTTGTTTCTTCGTCAGCCCCTTGCTCTCTACCTCTTCCTTCCACTTCACTAGCACCTCTTTGAGCATTCGGCTCCCGTCCTCCACTTCCTCTTTACTGGCTTGTACGTAGCCCTCTTCGTGCTTTCCAGCGAAGTCTTCCAGT